GGACACGACTAGAAATCAGTGGTTAAGTTGTATTTACAACACTGTTCCAGAACAGTTCAACCCAAATATTCTGATGTGTGCAGCACATTTTATGGAGGACTGTTTCCTGATCCTGGGAGAGTAGATTACAATGCCGGCTGTTCTGACTCACAGACTTTTTAATATTTAAAGGATTTGCCACTGACGATTCAAACGCGAGTTTTGAGCAGTGTAGAGTAGCGCTTGTAGTTTGTCATTTCTCCGATCACAAATGCAGACATGGTTTTATGTTTACGCGGCGCGATGCAATGCAACGTGTAAAAAGACAGTATAAGTCATTATAATCCGTAATTATGTCCCCAGTGGACGCAACAAATGCCTCGTTTATAATGGGTTTTAATGTTCTTGTCTCATCGCTCCGGGACAAGGCATCATAATATGGTAAGGGGCGTAACATTTCCGTCACACGCTTGAGGTATTCAACCAATCACAACGCACTGGATAGCTGACCAATCAGCGTACACCTCGCTTTTCAGAACGATGAGCTTTGTAAAAATCGACGCGTTTCAAAAAGCGGGGCATAGAGGAGAAACAATAATGTACAGTATGTGGAAAATAATGTGTTTTTTTAACCTTAAACCGCATAAACACATTTCATTACACAAAATAACCAAAATAATTGTTCTTTTTAGCAGCATCATATGACCCCTTTAAGTATGGAAGCCCGTTTCCGCCACAGAATAGAAAAGGTAACGTTAGGCCTACCTGCAACTTTTTAATCTCACAATCCATCTCGCAATTGAATAAAAAATGTAAAAGATAATTGCGGCTTTTATCTGACAATTTACATCTCGCAATTCAGTGGAAAAAAGAATTGTGAGATAGAAATTGTGAATTTTTTCATTCCGAGGCGGAAACAGGCTATATGATAAAAAGACAGCTTGACTGCATAAAACTGAGCTATCTGGATTTATGTAGCTACTTGATGAAACATTTAAAATAAACCGGTGGTTATTAGCCTATCTTCAATAGAAAAGACCGTTACACATAAAGCCAGAAGAAAATGGCCCATAAATTTACATGTAATCGTCAAGCCTTAGTATTTCACCAAAACAAGTGGGCTTTTTGAAGGGGCCAAATTCAGAGGGTTCTCACCCGAGGCATTATATCTGTTCCCCTCCCATCACCCTCATGCTCTATTCTCCAGCCCTAACACTCATTCTTCTATACAAACTCAAAAGTTTGAGTATGTGAGGACTGTTGACATGCAGAGAGGAGCAGCATTAGTATTCCGCTCAGACGGCATCGGCCGTAATGAGATCCGAACGAGTAAATCCTCTTTCACAGCTGGTCTCCATGTTAGCAGATCTCATAATAAAAGTTATGCATGTTAACAAAAACACTTGGTCTGATCAAAACGTCGATTCTGGGCGAAAGATGCGAGAAACGTGACAACGTAAGAAGTGTTGCCTGTTTCTAATTTCGGTGTTGCCATGGCGATGCCACTTGCTTAAGATACAAGATACGGTTTAGGGGAAAGTCTCCAGCTAACAGGACTTCCCGCAGGGAGTTTTGAAGTGAATGCCAGAAACTCATAGAGAATTAAACATGAACTGCTTGAAGAGGAACGCAGCACTCTTGGCTGTAAATGAGTTAAGGATGAGACTTCCCGGCCTAAACTATAGTTTGCTGGTTTTAGAGGAATTAAGCTGGTTTCACAGTTGAAAAGTGCTCAAAACCACTCTAAAACCAGCCATAGACCAGCCTGAACAGGTTGGGAGGATTATTGTTAACGAAAACTAAAACCATTAATATATATATATTAATATAACTAAAAACTCGTATTTTCAATACGAAAAATGCAATATTAAAGTGTACAGTTAAGATGGATGGATTTCCGTTTCTTTCTATTCTCACAAATTGGTCGCCACCATGTGGTCACATTGAGAACTGCAGTATCAGATTCAACACCCACCTTGTTCTCAGCGTTCTCTTCTCTTGCTCCTTGTCTTTTACTGTTGATATCTACAAGAAACTGGAAAAAGACATCCCAGGAGAAAATATAACACCTTAACAAAATGTCTTCGTATTTGCAAAACTACTTTTTCCTAAATATTCATGTCAAAAGTGCATCAGTCACAATAACTTGCCTTGCCATGACGTTGTCATTTAGCTCTAATAAACAGAAAACGTAAAAGCTGATTGTCATAACTAAACACAAGAAGAATCTCTGCACATATTAAAGTATTACACAGGTTTAATTTCATTTTTATTATGACAAATGTACAAGATAGTAAATCATATGAAAGAAATTACAATACAGTTAACAAAAACATCCAAAAGAGGAACAGACAAACACAAAGGACGATTCTAAAAGCTAAAACCAGACTGCATCTGTCCATCTGCTGTCAAACTACATCATCCAAATATCTTCAAACACTGCTGTTGGCATCCCTCATTACATAATATCAAATTAACCAGATTTTCATGTGAAATACAAATATATACTGTGTCATTAGAGGCTGGGCCTCAATTTCAAATGGATGTCTGTCCCTTTGATTTTTAAATTACACGGGAATTGACCATTGGCCCAATACTGTTAATAGACCACCTCAGGAGAAATGCATAATGTGGTCTAGCACCTAATGATGCTCTTGGTCTTAGCATATCTAAAACTGTTTTTGTAAAAAAATCAGGGAAGTTTTATTCTCAAAATCTGATGCCCTAATGCTGCAAGAGCAAATAAATCAGACTAGAATATATGTGCATGCCAAGCATAAACATTCATGTACAAGACATTTTTACACCGCTTTTGTCGATCAATGCTGACATCGAAACAATTAAACTGTCTGTTGGGCTCTACATCAAATGCTTTTTCCTCTGAGAACAGACCATTCTTGGAAATGTCAATCAGTGGAAATGGGACAGAGAGACTGAAAACTCTCAAAGAAGACAAAACCGAAATCGAAAACGCACTAATGAAAATAAGACAGACGTGCCCACTTTGGAGTGGTACAAATGTACCTACAAAACAAATTATAAACACCTGCAATCATAAAGGGGCTGCTATGTATACTTTAAATGATTTAAAAATGCTTCTAATATGTTACAGCAGAAAACTACAGATATACACACCAGGGTAATGCAAGATTATACAATGTTTCTCAGACGCGTTCTTACGTCTCAGAGGGGCGTCTCACACACATCACGCTGCTCTCGGAAAGGTCGGAAATCATTTGAATGTCAGCAGCAACATGAATTTTTTCTTTAAAAAAATAGACAAAAGCAGGAGATGATGGATCTCTTCCTGCATGTCTTGTAGGAAAAATGTATTGCTTTGTAATTGATGAAGGACAAAGAAATCATACACATCATTAGTATGCTTAAAAACAAAAGGAAAACATTACAATGATTATATTCACATAAAGAAAATGAATATAGTGCACTGAAACAGAAATAAGCAGGACATGATGGGCAAAGAAGAATCCCTCTGCATTAAAATGAGATGAAAAGCACTAAACTTCAAGGAAGGAGAAACAAACCGTGCATCGGTGTGGGTCAGAGTCCTCAGCATTTTATCATCCTCGAGTGGAAGATTTGGCATTTGATGCATTGAAAAGCTGCCAGAGTAAATAGTGTTTGAATTCAAATCAAAATGTGGCGCTGAAACAGTCCAAAGCAACAGAATGTATTAGTATGTTGGCATAAGTATATGAGCAATTTTCCACCATTAGACATCTCTTAGAAACTTCCAGGAATCTTTTGCTCTAATGGTGTGAGCAGCTGTACAACCAAGCGATAATTTCAGGTACAAATGACAATTTTATAATAAATAGTATAACAAAAACAAAGCTTTTAATGACATCACCTAATAAAAAAATTTTTTCCCCACCAATTAACACTATGAAACCAATCGGTAGAAATTCAACTTCCACTCCAATTAGATTATAAAAGATGAATGTTTAAAAATGGCGTTGGAGTGGAAATGAACAATAAAGATACTTAGCGATGTCTGGAACTTCACTAAAATTAAGACTCCACCCAATTCCGGTTCTCGCTGTAAACTGACAGCAGTGGAGATCAAATGCACGTAAACTCGACAAATGTCTCTACGTCAGACATGTGAGTGTGAGCATGGCTGTGTGATTAGTGTAAAAAGAGGTTTTAGAGGTTGTTTCCAGAGAGGGTGTGTTTGAGAGTGATCACTCTTATCGAACGAAAACGTTACTTTAGAAGGAATATCTCAGGGAGTGTCTCTTGGAAGGATTGCACTGTTCTTCCCTTGATACTTTTGCGCAGTAAAATATTTACAGCTATTATTAATGTGCCACCTGATCTGTTCTGCTGGCATGATTAACAGGGACTGTTGACGTGATCCGTGCTGACTGGTGAAAACAGAATGAGCGTCGGAAAAAAAGGACTAAAATGTTTAAACAAGAAAAAGAATACCAGGTTATAACTGTTCACTGTTGCATACATAGTCTACGAGGTCTGTGACGCCCAAAAGGTCGTCTTCATCTTCGTCCTGCGCAGCAATCTCCATGCCATTCGGCGCTATGGATACAGCTGATGGGGCGTTGACGTTTTTAGGCATCACTCCCACCCCGGGTCGGGGCATGAGACCCTCCAAACTCTTCATCGGGCTCTGTCCGTTAGTGGGAGGAAGCTCCGCTAAGTTGTAGTCCAGTGGACTGGGCCCTTTGCCAACAGTCTCCTCTGTCTCTTTCTCCGACGGGCTCTTCTTCACCTCCTCTTCACTCTCGTTGTCGTCAGAGTCGATGCGGTTCACGCGCTTCCGGATGGGCCGCTCCTCTTCCTCGGATTCGTCTGAATCGTCATCATCATCGTCATCCTCCGACTCCCTCCGGCGTTTAAGGGATAGGCGTCTGCGACGTTTCCTGGATTCTTCCTCAGATGAGTCTGCTCTTATCTTCTTGGGCTTCCTGTCCTCTTCATCAGATTCAGCTGACTGGAAACTAACTGGAGGAGCAAAAGACAATAAAATCATTTGTTATGCGTCATGCATCAAGCAAACATTTAAAACACAGAATCTTTATCGACCACACATCTACAAATGTGATCCATATTTTGTATTTGTATATGTAGTGAGCATATATTAATATATATGTATATATAAACACATAAAAATATATACTATAATTCAAGTTTGAGGTCAGTGAGATTTCTTATATTTTCCGAAAAGTCTCTTAAGCTCACCAATGTTGTATTAACTTAAAAGTAAAAACAGTAATATTGTGAAATATTATAACAAATTAAAGTCACTGTTTTCTATTTTAATGTTTTAAAATGTAATTTATTCCTGTGACGGCAAAACTGAATTTTCAGCATCATTACTCCAGTCTTCAGTCTGTTCAAGAAACATTTCTGATTATTATCAATGTTGAAAACAGTTGTGCTGCTTAATATTTTTTTGGAAACAGATATATATTTTTAGAATTCTTTGATGAATAGAAAGCCTAAAAGAACAGCTTTTTCTTGAAATAAAATCTTTTGTAACAAGTCTTTACTGTCAAATTTGATTAATTTCATGCATCCTTGCAGAATAAAAGTAATAATTTTTTTTTTTTTTTTAATCTGACTCAAACTTTTGAACGGTAGTGTATATTATGTACATATCAGACATCCAGGTTTCTATATATTACTACCAGCTGTTGAAAAACTTGTGTCAGTCTATCACTACTAATTCTAGCAATATTTTATAAGATAACGATAAAATTATAATTATATATAGAGGTCAACGTTATATATAACAAATAAGCCTTATGCTGTGAATATGCATAGATGTGAACGGCACTGACCTTCGCTATCAGAGCTGGAAAGACGTCTTAGTTTCTTCTTTTTGTCTTTGTTGGTGCTGGCCTGCGAGCCATCAGAATCTGAACTTTCACAGTAATTCACCTCTTGTTTACGACTCCGATAGGACCGCCGACAGCGGACATCCAGATCGCTGGCACTGAATTCACTAGAGCCTTCCGTCACTGCATGCAAATCCCCCCACACACAATGATATACACACAAAACAAGACAAACAAACATGGAAATATATCAGTAAACAAACAGTAAACCATAAGTACTAGTGGTGAAACGATATTCAAACCGAACTGAAAATCCGTGATACTCTCTTGGCCTACCCCGCCCCCTGCTGAGACACTTCAAACGTGTACAGCCATAACGGTTTTGAATTGCTTGAATCACTTTGAAATGGATGGTACCATTAAGGGCAACATTTGCAGAACAAATCTGTCATATAGGCTTCATAAAATTATGAGAACACGACTGTAAAAGAATGTGTTTCAGTGCATTATGTGGCATTGGTATATCGTTACACCTCAAACAAGTATGGTACAAATTATGTCTAAAAACTAAAAAATTCAATTCAAGCTTTTATTCAATCCAGCTTTTACTTGTAATTATCTGAAACTCTTCATTTGTAATTTTTTTAGATTTATTTTTAAACAATTAACAAAAAATAAACTACATAAAAAAATGTCTACAATATAAAAAAACGGTCAGAATACATAACAGGGTTGCATATTTAGTATAATTTTTAGTATTAAAATATTATTACATTTTTTATAAATGCCTCACCCATCTCCTCTTCCTCCTCTTCGTCAGTTTCCAGCTCCTCCTCATCAGAGTATCCTCTAGGTCTGCGTCTCCTGCGCGGCGGCTGTCTCCTCCGCGGGCGGGCAGCATCACTCCCGAAGTCACTGTCCTCATAGGAAGGGACTTCTGCTTCGCTCTCTGCCTCATTATCAGAGGCCACAAACTCCTCATCCTCCGAACTGCTGACCAATCAGAGCAGAGTAAGTGTTATTTCATTGGCAGGATTCTGTACTTATCTTAAATTAAAAGCTGTTTAACATTACCTGTTACTGAGACGGAACTCATCTTCGCTCTCTTCTTCGTCCACTGTGCTGTCGCTGTCTAGATCGTTGAGACGCCGCCGCTTCTTCTGAGCTGCACTGGTTCGCCGCGGCCGCCCGTTCTCCTTCCCATCCTCTTGTAGGATGGTGGACATGTCCTTCTCTCTGTGGCCTGTGATGTTCGCCATGTCCTTCCCACGGCCTGCTCCTGTTTTGACGCATTTGATCAGTCTAATCTCCCATGTTAAAGCTTTAATATCAACACTAGTGTGATGTATGAAAACGCTCCCCTACCTCCACCCTCTGCCTCTTTAATGTCTTCCTCGATTGCCTCTTCGATCGCTTCATCAAACTCATCAAATCTGCCAAAAATGTAACAATAAACAGTGAACAACGACCATGTATAAACAGCATAAGATAATAATGATTATAGTAGATTGACATACCTGTAGCTTATGTATTTCTTGGCCCTGGTTGATCTCCGTCCCCATCTTTTGCTCTTCTTCACAACATTCTTCTCTTTCACCAGCTCCTCTTTTTCTTCCTTCACTTCCACCTTCAATATATATATATATATATATATATATATATATATATAAAAATTTACAAAAACAAAAATGCTTTGAAATATATTTCTGTAAATGTGATCTAGCAATATAAACAGTAAAGTTTTTTGATGTCAAATATCAAATGTTTTTTTTATTTTTATTTGTTCATCAAAGAATCCTGAAAAATGTATCTCAGCTTCCACAAAAATATTAAGCAGCACAACTGTTATCATTGATGATAATAAGAAATGTTTCTTGAGCAGCAAATCAGCATATTATTACGCTGAAGACTGGAGTAATGGCTGCTGAAAATTCAGCTTTCCCATCACAGGAATAAATTCCATTTTTAAATATATTAAAATAGAAAACAGATATTTTAAATTATAATATTTTTTCTTGATATTGCTGTTTTTACTGTATTTTTGATCAAATAAATGCAGCCTCCAGCCACATCTTTCAAAAACTAAAATTATACTAACACCAAACTTTTGAACGGTAGTGAAAACAATGATTATGTATTATAGAATTCAAAGTACTCCAAATATTTCTTAAACTTAAAATGTAAAAATAAAATTCCTATTCTTTTTTTTTTTTTTGTATAATTTCCTACCCTATTATCTTAAAATATTAGTTTAGCTTTGTGACAGCAGATTGGTTACATTTTATACTTTTAAGTGCTCTTCTTTTGTTTAAAAGAAAACATTTTTACATTAAATATCCATACTAAGTATCCAGTAATTTCAATAAGCACTGTAGGCACTTACAGAGGGTGTGATGATGTTCTCTACACTGATGCCAACATACATCAGTCGCTCTTTCCTATGAGGGAAGAATGACAATGTTTCTGGAATGAAAATAATTTCTTATATAGGCCATCATGCCACGGCACAGTAAATTGTTAACAGACTGATAGGGGTCAAAGGGATTAATTCAGGAACTTTTCTGCAACTGGTTCAAACTAATTCACTTGAGCTGGTCTAAATATCTCTTTATTTACCTCCACTCTGCACGTTCTTTCTTTTTAAGGGCTGCATCCAAATTCTGCAATTGCTCTTCAAGCCTGTCGCAAAGTTGCTTCTGCAAGAGAAAGAGAGCATCAGCATTTGAATAGCCAGGATAGTGTATTTCTGTAAAGGGACTCTTGCAATCTGAATTGACTCACATGCTGGCAGGGGGGGCAGAACCATTCCCCATCTGGTATGATCATGAGCGGAGGCCGCAGGCAGGCAGTGTGGTAGCCGCTGTCACAGGAATCACACAGGAGTATCTAGGGGAACAGAAACGAGAGGTTAAAAGCAGCACTTCTGACTGTAACTGTGAGAAGATGAAGATATTTTGCAGAAGTGTGTCACACCAGCTCGGGATGGTTGGGAAGGCCACAGTGTTTGCAGGGGTCGTCATTGGGTTCATCATCTTCTGATGAAGAGGTAGAGGAGTCAGAGCTGTTCCTCTCTTGGTTTCGGTTTCTCCTTCTCTTCCTGGTCTTCTCCACCTTGTAGTCTTCGTCACTGTCATCCTCCTCTGTCTCCTCTTCCTCACTCTCACTCTCCTCGTCAGAACATTTCTTTTTACGTCTCATGCGAGACCATGGCTGTCGTTTCCGACGTCTCCCCACCTGCTGAATGATGAGTTACATTGTGAATGATCTGCAACTATGATCAAAGAAATCTCTACCATTCAAAAGTTTGGGGTCAGTACAAATTTTTTTTTTTAAAGAAATTAATACTTTTATTCAGCAAGGACCCATTAAATTGACCAAAAGTCACAGTAAAGACATTTGTAATGCTACAAAAGATCAAAGAATCCTGAAAACAATATCTAGGCTTCCACCAAAATATTAAGCAGCACAACTGTTTTCAACATTCGTAATCATAAGAAATGTTTCTTAAGCACCTAACCATCATATATGAATGATATGAATGATTCATGTGACACTGAAGACTGGAGTAATGGCTGCTGAAAATTCAGCTCTGCATCACAGGAAACACAGGAAAAACAATAATACATATTAAAATAGAAAACAGCTATTTTAAATTGTAGTACTATATCACAATGTTACTGTTTTACTGGTATTTTTTCTCATGTTATGGCCAATAAATTGCACTATTATTGCACTATACTACACTATTTTACCTAAACAAATGGAAAATAAAACACTAAAAACTCAAATTAATAATTTTATTGCTACAAGTGAATTTAGTCCTCACAACATTGCAATGTACAGTATGATAAATGGATATTTATTTTGAGATTTGCTAAAGACACACTTGACTGTTATTAATCGTGTTTTAAAAGATTAACTTTAAATGAGCGTCAGAAAATGGCAAAGATATTCTAAATGTAAAAAGGTACACACACCTTTGGTTTTGTTTGGCCATCTGGCTCAGCTTTCCTTGGTTTCCTCTGTACAATATCCTCATCCTCTTTGTCTTCGTTGTCATCCTTTTCTTTCTCTAACACCGGAGTCGCCTGCTTCCGTTCTGCCCTCCTGTCCTGGATGTCTACAGCTTTAGCGGTGGGTCTGCAGATTCTCGGAGATCTCCTCAAGCACCTGCCATCAGTCACCTCAGACTCTGAATCTCCCCTCACCTCTTCTCTCTGAAGTTCTGCCTTCCGTCTATGAGCTGGGATTCTGATCTTCATGCGAATCCCTTCCTGTCTTCCCATTTCTTCTTGTTCATCACCTGTTTTATCCTCATCCTGACTTTCCTGAGCTTTCTTTGGAGGCCGCCCTGGTCTTTTACTGCTTTTCACAGCAGCATCACGTTCTTCAGAAGTTGTGTCTTGCTTAGATTGTTTGCTTGAGGTGGTGTCTTGATCTACAGGAACATCAGTTTCCTTCTTACTTGCTGTTGTAATATCACATCCCTCTTCAACAGCTGACTGAATTGTATTAGCTTTACTGATCTCTGAATTAACTTCCATTGGCTTCTCTTTGTTCCCTTCCTTTGAATCGGGTTCCTTTTCATGTTCTCTATCAGA